TAACAGCAAATGTACAACGTATCGACAAGATCCTGAAGATTACAAAACCTTGCAGAAACGTTGTACATTTGCTGTTATGTTAAACTTATATTAAAGTTTTTCTTCATTACCCATTCAAGCTGTCTCCAGCCATTATTAGTCTCAAAGTGGGTTCCTCGTCATCGAATTTATAGAGGATGGCTTATATAACACATATTTTAAACTTTTATAATATTAGCAGCCAAATTACAATACGTGCTCACTTAAACTAAATGCTTCTTTCAAAATATGTTGTATAAATTGAATTTGTGGAAAAAAAATTCTTAGTCACCCACCAGTAACTACAGAAAGGTTGGTTTATTGGATATTCCGAATTCTTAGAAAATTAGACACAAAATGGTTCCCACGTAATATTTTTATATATTTTCATTGTTAGAATTAGGCTTACATGTTCACCATGGGGAGAGCCGAGCATGATTTGTGTTAAGCGTTATTCTGTTTCAGATTGTTGGTTAGGCTTGTGTTTAATTTCGGGTGTAAGTTTAACCTAGGTATTATGGCTAATTTAAGCGGTTGGAGGTATGCTAGGTTCCTAGGTGGAATTGCAGGTTTAATTGGTTTAGCACTTTATCCAATTATTGTATATCCATACTTTCACGTTGAAGAATACAGTAAGTAGAAACATATTAATTAGATTTGATATATTTATTTTTTATTCATACACTAATACTGAGTGATGGTGGTACGATGACGGATGAGTTGGTTCCACCGAATTCTTCGAATAGTAATATTTAAAAATTACATTTATTTACAGCTTGCAGTAGTACATGCGAATATTTCCAACTATGCCCTGCAAGCTGTAAATAAACTTAAGTAGATCTAACGATTTGAAATTTATTGTTTGGCAATTTCACTGGCTCTTTGAGAATGCAAGACTCTATGAGCATGAGTATTACTGATACTATGAGTATGACTCACAATCTGACGATGACAGCCGTTAGAATTAATGGTATTAGTAATATCAGTTATATTTTGACAATACAATTAATACAGTATAATCATGCTTTGCCAGCAAAAGGCATCATTCACGCCATAGCAATTATTATCACACTTTACATGTTTTTTTATTAATTCTCATAATAATAATAATAGGACAATCATGCAGTAAGTAATAAAAGTAAACCAGTTACCAATCATCACTGTTCAAAATTTTTAACTAAATGATTATTTTCGTCAGATTAAAATGCAAGGTTATTAAAACTAATTCAATGAAGAAGAGAAACATGACTCAAAAGGTATGGTAAAACTAAAAAAAATGTGTAACATTAGAGAGAGAGCTGTTTCAGTAAGTTGTGGTATGAAACTGGATGAGTAACAATAAAAACTACAAAGTGTTAAAATAATTAGTACATTTAATGTTTGTGTAAAATTTGTGAGATTGCTATGTATTATTATTCTTACATGACTATTTCTCTGTCTTTAGCTGTTTTTGTAAATGTAAAAATACTTACAAGAATGAAAAACATTTATTCAAAGCAAACGGATGAAGCATTTTAAGTTTATATATTAGTATTAGGCAGTTTTGTATGTGTTTTTTGTGTTTGTATGTGTTGGTTGGAACATGTCTGAGTCCTGTGGTAGAAAAGTGCTTGAAGTTGTGTTAATTACAAGAGTGAGGTTTGCCAACAGATGTAGCTTAATTATTTGTCTAATGTGGCTTAAATGTTCTTCTGTCCAATCTTCGAGTCTCCATCCTACATGAAGATGAACACATTGTTTACATGATGTGCAATAAATTTAATATTCTGTGATGCACATAAGTGCCTGCTTGATGTAGAATTTGGTGCACTGGTCACATGTGCAAGTAATACGCGTGCTTTGTTCACAGCTTCAAGTACCCGACGTTTGGTCTTGATGAGGTACCAGGACATTTTAAGTTAGTATTCTGACAGTAATAAATTAAAAATGGGTCCTTAAACTGGTGGTTAGTTTCTCTGAAAGTGTAGTAGTTTATCATAATATCTTTGACCTTTTTGTGATATGGATGTATGTAAGTATCAAAGGAATACGGGTGTTAGATTTTAATCAGCAAATTTAGGGCTTGGTCATAAGTGATACCACAAACTTTGGATTCAGCTTAATTTTCTCTGCATCAACAATTTCTTTTTGACAACTGTAGCCAAAAACAAAAGATAACCATGTGTCTTAATTTTACTTTTAACTGATGCCTTTTAAACTTATTTTAAAGTCTTTATAAAAGTTAATAATTTATTAATATAGATCATTGTAAAGAAACTACATTCAAGTATACAAACATCTGCAGACATTTTTCCAGGGTGAAACAAACTAGTGTCTAATTATGAATTGAATATAAAATTCATATATATATATATGTTGAATGAACACCATAACGTGTTACATTGGTCTGAAGGAACAACTTTTGTTTTATACAAGTTAGCCGTTCATCACTGTTGATCAGTGACTGTGTTAATTCTTGTTTTACATGTGTGCGCGTGTGTAGCAAATTTTTTAAGCATTGTGTTATTTTTAAATTTCATTCAAATAGTGCAATAATTAACCGGTTTCTGTAACATTATTTTACAACTAAATATATCTGAACTTATGATGAGACTATAAATGGATTTTTACTATATAATATAAAAAGTAAAATATATGCAAAGAAACAATTAGTTTATCAACTTATTCAAAACCGTATTGAATAAGTAACACCCAAAATATAACATAATAGGACAATTAAATGCTCAATAAAACCAACTTTATAATGTATTACTCTTGAATATCTTTAACCCTCATAATATATTTTGGGGCTATTTGACTCGACACTTGTACCATCGTAAGGCCTGTTTTATTTCAAGTTTAATTAGAGCTCACTAAATATTAACAGTTATTAATCTGTTCTACATTTGTTTAGAATGATCGACAGAAAAGTTTGTGTACAATTAATTTCTCGTTATGTAAATTTCTTATAATCTTTGTTATATTATCAGAAGACATACAGAAGAAGACAAGAGAAGGAATTAACCAAGAGGCTATCCAACCAGGAGGTAATGGAAGTAGTCATAAGTGTACTTGTACTTCTGCTAAATAACAACCACATCTTAAAGTTGCACGAGGAAAAAAATAAAAGTCAAATTTGTCATTTTTTCCCCCAATTTAAAATTGTTGGAAATTTCTAAATCATAGTCAGGAAAAGTGTAAACACTTTGATTTTTCTAGTAATATTAAGGAGATTGTTTATTGGCTTCAGTGTATACTAGTTGACAGAACTGATTATTTCAAATCTGCTGATGAAAATAGAGGTACACAAAACCTAAAGTTATAATTCTACGAACTTATCAGGTTGTTTTTAAAGACTTAAAGTATTTTTTGCGTACTATGTATTCACTGTTGAAAAGTTTTTTAAACATTTAACATTTTATTTTTTTTATTTAGGTATGAAAGTTTGGACAAATCCATTTGAGGGGAAAACAAAAAGCTGAAAGCATGTAATTCTTTCACATTTTATACACCAGTTGTATGTATACATATTGTTATTAACCTCCTCTGTAAATAGTTAAAATACTTTAGCTGTAGTAAACTCTACAACTGAGTTAATATTTGAAGTCTTTGTTATTAAATATTATTATCAGAAAATCTTTTTTGAGAAATGTGTCGTTGCAACCTGTGTACGAAAAATAAAAATAACAAATTAGTTTCATAAATGACAGTTACTCTTTGTTTTGTCAGATATTTTTATCATGAAACAGACTTGTAGCATTTTTCAATAAATAAGTGATTATTTTAAGATATAGGCTCAATGTCCGACACAATGTCCTAACTATTTCAAGTGTTGAGACATTGAAGAATAAATATACTTCCTAATCTCAACATTTTCTACACCACTCTACATATGTGTACATGTGATGAAAGTTAAATATCCTTTTCATCAAGTTTATTGAAGTACAAAATAACATTCGAAAATTAAATATGGTCCTCAAGATTTCAGCAACAGCCAAAATATTTGTTGTGCCCCTCTGTACCAAATAACACTATACATGTTGGATCCAGTTTTTCTAAACTAGCCATTTTTTTCTGTCATTGTTTCATGTCACTTCTTAGGCTTGAGGACTACTCCAAACAGGCTGTCAGTACTTCAGCACTGACGGGCTTTATTATCTAACTATACTACTAGAAAAGCATAAATAATTAATTACCAATAAATAAAATTACAGTAAAACAGCATTAATTTAGACAGTGTTGTTAATTATTATTCATCTACAATGGCAATGCATATACTTTGCTTAATTTGTGTCGTACTGTTAAGTTGGATAGTTTTATAGCATGTGCTGCCATTAATTTGTACTAAACATAGCACGTAGAGACCATCAGAGTCGTACTGTATTAACATATTAATGGAATGTTTCAGGTTACTGATATCTATCTAGGAGCTAAAGTAACTGCTTTGTGCAAATTGATAAAAACAGTAATAACATACCAGTGTAATAATGCACAAATGATTCATGAATTAAGAAAACTTACAAAAAACCTGACTAGTTTTAACAGGCCAAGTTTGTTGTTTTTAAGGAATGGAGTAAAACAGTCCAAGAGGGGTCAAATGAGGTTAAATCCAAAGTCATTATTCAGTATGTTTTCTCTATTTTTAAGTGTTTCTATTGGTTCTCTTGTGCTGCGCTGATTAAAGAATTTTGGTTCAGAAATAGTTTTCAAAATTAATTTTGAAGTTGGTTGTATTTCAAATTCCTTCTGATGACATTAACCTTTATGTTCTTTTAATTGAAAGATGTTGTTTTGTTTAAACAATATAAATACCCTTTTTATAGTGGGTTTCTATCTTTATCTTTCAGTGGGTTATAAGACAGTTTAATTTTTTCATTTTAAAACATCACCTACTTTTGATATCAAATGGTAGTAGGTTATTGTGTTACGTTAGAGTTATATCTCATCTTTTATTAAGCTTTTTATTTCTGTTGAAAAAATTAGTTATTAAGTTTGGTTGAAATCCACTTAAACAGCTACATCTTTGAGATAGTTGAGTTCTTTACGAATGTACTTTTTATCAGAACAAATGTTCAACATCCTCCAGTTGTATACGTCAATCTTATTTGGCATACATTAAACATTTGTCACAATATATTACTATTAAATACATGTAAATTGGTTGGAATACTGTTATACATCCTTATTCTTGAAAAATCCTAAGGGACTAGATAAAGAATGTAGTGTTAAAATATAATAATAGGCCTAACGTCTTGTAGCAAGTATTATAATTATAACCATGCTTAGAAACGATATTCACACTGTAACAACTGTTGTGGCAACAAATGGCTTGTATAAATAGTTTTCCAACCACTGCTGTATCTGTTGCATTCCAGTGGGTCTGATAAGCTATGTAATGAGTGAAACACATTGTTGGTAATGAATTTGGTGGACGTAGTCTAGTTGAAATATTATTATACACTTTTTTGGAAAAACTTAAACTGAATAAAGGCTCAAAACTAATGTCTTATGGCAAGTATAATTAGTTATTTGTATTGTTACATTTCAGTTGGTTTTTGGAGAGGCTCAGAGAGATGTACAATTTATTAAACTCTGAAGGATCTCTTTATGTGGATATCATTATTCATCGGAGTAACTTGCAGATATTTGATTCATATTAACTTAATAGTGGTCACATCCAGAGCACGACGTTTAAGTCATCAGCTATGTAACACGTACACATGAGTGAACATTCTCCTTGCTTTGAGTTGGACTTTTATGATTCAACATTTAAAGTCTAATTCATCAATTCTAAACAGTATCTGAATGCTTGAACAACAATTTATTCAGGACAAAAACCGGCATCTCTGGCTACCCTCACTTTTATTTATTTTTTCAAGAATTTACTGTATTTTCTCATACTACTAGTAATCTAGCTTCCACAAAAAGTCCTAGCCTAACAATACAAACTGAGTTTTTGCAGGTGATTTTGTAGATACAACAATGGCATTAAAAAAAGAATCTACACAAGACTTTGGTCGTGATTGTGAATTAACGAAACTTGCTTGTGAAATCACTATCAAAAGAATTATAAGCCTGTTAGCAAAATGATTCTTAATTTAGTTGTTAATTTTGTCCACTGACTTCTTAGGTTTTTTGTTTCTAGAATTTCTGCTGTTTTTTGAATGATATATAGTTAATATGAGTAATTCCTTGAGAAAGTTTGATGTAAGAGGACTCCTTGATTGATCTTACAGAACTTCAAAATTATGTTTGTGTTTCAAGATGCAATACTTTACGATTAAAAGACCTTACTTTTTATCATTTAATTTATGCCAACTGAAGCTGAGCTTTTAACACTTTAAACAACTGTTTTAGTTTCCTTTTTATCGTTTACTTGATGCCGACTGAAGCTGAGCTTTTAACACTTTAAACAACTGTTTTAGTTTCCTTTTTATCGTTTACTTGATGCCGACTGAAGCTGAGCTTTTAACACTTTAAACAACTGTTTTAGTTTCCTTTTTATCGTTTACTTAATGCCAACTGAAGCTGAGCTCTTAACACTTTAAACAACTGTTTTAGTATGAATAAAATTATTGATATTTAACAATATCACATTATACTGGAGATTAGTTATTCTCAGATTTCATGAAGTATATTAATTTAACCATGTAATAAAAATACAACATTTTAACGCCATCTTGTAGTTTTTCAAGTGGCTGTGACCTGATGATGATCCAACATCATTAAATGTAAAAACATTTCTTCTTCATTATCTTATACTTGTAGTTCATTCAGATGTGTACAGAAAGTTTAGTAAATGTTGGATGTATCAAAATCAGTTTGTTGTTTAACGAAGAAACCTTATTTTATATTTAAACCTAACATGAGCTAGATGGTCTCAAAACATTCTGGTGGACTGTTTGTTTGTTGAATTTTTGTGTAAAGCTATTTGAGAGCCATCTGTCCCGAATTTTGAAGTAATAGACTGGGAATAGTGGGATTGACCATCACATTAAAACATCTCTATAACTGAAAGAGTGTGTTTTTATCTACCTGGAGAGTCTGGTGGAATTCTAATGAATTCATAAAAATCTGAACCTGAGTGAAGTCTGAAGTTGTAGAACTAGTATCAGAACATAAAACCTGGGTGAAGTCTGAAGTTGTAGAACTAGTACGACAACATAAAAACCTGAACCTGAGTGAAGTCTGAAGTTGTTGAACTAGTATCACAACATAAAACCTGGGTAAAGTCTGAAGTTGTTGAACTAGTATCACAACATAAAACCTGGGTAAAGTCTGAAGTTCAACTAGTATCACAACATAAAACCTGGGTGAAGTCTGAAGTTGAAGAACTAGTATCACAAAGCAAAAGTTTCAAAAAAAAGTATTTGTATCAAAATATTACAATCATTGTTTAGAAGTAGTTTACACAGGTTATTTCTACAGTTGATAACATTTCTTTAAAAATGTTGTAAGTTGTACTTGTGTATTATTTAAAATGATTATCTGATTCATTTTATATCTTTGTAAAGAATAACGTGTAAGTAAATTTCTTACGAATTACTTTGCTTTAAAAATCACAAACTACATAAGAAACGCTAAAAGTTATTGAAAGTTTTTATAAACAGTTTAAGAATACAATATTATGTATTTTACATACACAGCAGTTGAATTTCATTCATTTTCGACGCTGTATTACAGGCAAAAATGAAAAACCTGATGTTTAACCATCTTTCCTAGAAGTTTAGCATACGAACACTAGATTGTGAGAAACATCTAGGCTTAATAACAATGAAAATACTTAAACTAATGTATTGCATAAGTTATAACATAATTAAGGCTTAATTCTTTTCAGTATAGTTTAGTTTAAACTTGAAAGAATATCAGTATCTTATTAACTGCTGAGTAACTGAACCAGTCAGTGTAAGAGGCACAGCTACCTTGTCGACAAGTATCAGATGCAACTACTTTTTATACAATAAAAATATATTTGAAAGTACTGTAAACTTTAACATAACTATTAGTATTGTCACTATCATGCTTGGTTAATTATGTTAAGATCATTAACAGTATTAGTTAAGCTCTATGGAATAATGTACACTTAAATTTCAAAGCCCTTAAAACATTACTGATTTTAAGGAGACGAACTTCAAAGTTAACCCTTGTGGCCTTAACTTGGCTCAAATATTAACATATCTACTGCTATCAGTGTTTTTTTATTTACACAAGCTTTGTTTATTCCACTGGCATTGAAACACATTCGGCTACCCCACTCTGCTTTTATAATTGCTGTATCAATAAACAATTAAACTATAGAGGTGTATTAAATGTAACGGATAATAGAAACAAAATACAGATACCAGCTTAGTTGACATGAACTTCTAAATTTATGTTCTTTTGTCATTATGCAAGATGTCACCAGTAGCATTTAAACACCAGAGGACTAGAAAAGTATTCTCAACCCATTGTTTAGATTCATACCATAGATCAAATAAATGGAAGAAAATTGGTAAAAACAGGTCCAGAGTTGGGATAGGCCCTCAGCAGCGAGAAGAGACATTGTTTAGATTCATACCATAGATCAGATAAATGGAAGAAAATTGGTAAAAACAGGATCCAGAGTTGGGATAGGCCCTCAGCAGCGAGAAGAGACATTGTTTAGATTCATACCATAGATCAGATAAATGGAAGAAAATTGGTAAAAACAGATCCAGAGCCCGGAGTTTGGATAGGCCCTCAGCAGCGAGAAGAGACTGTTCAGACAAACAAAGTTAAATATTAAACACAATCACCGTAACAAATAATTAGCACGAGCAACTTGCCAATAAAAACTTGAGAAAATAACACTGTGACATAACAGCTAGCAGGAAAGATACAGAAAAACAACTTGTAACAATTAATTTTCTCTGTAATGTACAAACACTGGCTTCTACTGTATATATATATGTAATGTTAAACCAACCAAAAGATGTCATTTGGCACAAGGACACTACAAAGTCGTGGCACAAACTCCAGTTTTGGAATATCAAAGAGCTCAAGAGGTAAATAGCAAGTATTAAGATTTTCTAGTAATCGACTGACACTATTGTCTGTTGTGAGACGCCACGTATTAGGTGGATACCCGTTTTTCAATGCTGTTAAAATCTGGTCCCTACAATTCTCTGGAAGTATCCGGCAAACAAATCTCTTAAAGTTACTCTAAACTGCAGTAATAATAATAGTAAATATTTTCTTAGCAACAAAAAAAACATCTTTCTATTCGAAGGTTTTAACAATGATTAGTATATGAATAACAGATTCTTTATACTCATCAAGTTTTTTTTCGTTACTCCATAAAATTTCTTTTGGAAACCTCTTAGAATTCTTTAAAAATATGTGATAATTTCTTTATTCCATGTAAAACCTGTTTTGAAACATCAATCACTTTTATATCAAATACTGAGTATCACATAGTACTGAACTGAAGAGTATCCTAAATCCAGAATATGCATCAGATCTTTGTCCAGTTTCACCAAGTCAGTAGCCCTTCTTGAGGTGAAGAATTACATCCAGTTTCACCAAGTCAGTAGCCCTTCTTGAGGTGAAGAATTACGTCCAGTTTCACCAAGTCAGCAGCCCTTCTTGAGGTGAAGAATTACATCATAACTTTCAAAAATCGAAAGGTTATTGACCGATTCACTGTTCATGAGAAATGAAGAAATTAAACTTGACAGAGGTAGTCCTTGGGTGTGCACAATACAAAAAATGCCTTAATACTTCAATGTCTACTTGTTACATGTCTCAAAATTTATTAGCTTTCTAGAAAAAGTAGTCTTTGTTTTTTATTTGTTTTAGAGTTGGATATAGACCATGCAGTTACAATCACAATATTTTTACTTATAACTGGGTATTCCTTCTGCATACATTTTCTTTTTCACTGTTTAGCTGTTGGATTAATTGAGAGTATGTGACAACTCTAATAAAATATCCCTTTTGTTTTCTGCACTCTAATTGATCATTTGGTCTGTTTCCTATTGGTGGACGTCTCCATTCTCGTCCGTGAGGGACTTATCTGTGATGCTTTGACGTGCACCCTTTGAATTTCTTCAGGTTTCTGAGCAAGCCCTGGTTTTCCTTTTGCAGAAGATGATGATGTAGCTTTCATAAAACTAAAATTTTTGGGTTCTGGCATTCCTTTTCGGGTAGCTATGGTGTTCAAATGTTTCCCTGTTACAACACCATTTCTGTTGATGGAAGGAGTTCGCTTCACACCTGAATCACTTTTCAGACCAGCTGAGTGATGTACATTAATTTCTTTTGATTTGTTAGGAATATATATTCCTTCTTTTCTTACAGCTCTGGATGCACTATTGTGAAGTTGCTCATTTGGACTGCCTTTTTGAGAAGCAGCTTTGACTGTGACCATAGACAACTCACTTGATTTTGATAAGGTTAAGGATCTTCGAGACAGGGAACACTCACTACACTGGGAATTTGGAGAAATTGATCCATTTACTGATGAACTGGATTTAGTTCTTTTAAAGGACCACAATTCTTGTGAAGAGATTCCTAGGAGTTGTTTGTTTTTTATGTTCGGTGATACAGGAGTTGACTGGGATACATTATAATTGTCTGAAATTCCTCTTACTTTAGCCAGGTTTTTCATCATGTTTTTAGTGGTCTTTGAATATCCTATCACTTTATCTTTTGTAACGGCACTACTTTCTCTCGTGGAATTTCTTTTGTTTTCTTCATGGTTTCTGGTTCTAGTTTTCAGTAATGCTGGTTCTACTGCAAAACTATTTTTGGAACTTCTGAGACTAATTCTTGAGCCAGTTTTAGAGTTTGACTCCCGGACTTGGATGGGAGATTTCGTTTCTGAGGTTGTTGATGAATGACTTGTAGTTCTCTGAATTCTACCTAAATAACTACGGGTTGAACTTCTAGAAGGAAGTGGAACATCTTGTTTGTTCAGACTGCTTCGTGTTGCTATTCGACTGCTATTAGATCGTTTAAAAGCGTTTGAAGGTATTTTCACAGATTCCTCGTGTTTCCCAATATGCTGCTTTCTTTTATCCATACTTTTAGGAGTCCCAATTAATGATTCTTGTGTTGATCCTTTTGAAACTACAATTTTTGGTAGTGTGTTATATTCAAGCTGCTTAGAAGTATTTTCTGGTTCCTCCAACAAACTGTCCGGTACGATTTGTCTCAGACTCCTTGGAGAGTCCACTAGATCAGTGTCATAAGCTCCTGCAGAGGAAGTGTCTTGAGATAAAGTCTCACTCATAAGAGATTGTGTTTCCTCAAATCCTTCATCATGGTCATGTTCTTCCAGGCTCTTTCTCTTAAACATTGGTGAAAAGTTAAGAGCTGAATGAGCTCTTCTTGAATGGAATGAAGCTTCAGCCAGTGGTGGTTTTTCATTAGAACTTTGTTTACTTGGACACTTTTCATCAGATATCAAGTGCTGAGTTTTGGACTGTAATGTATTATCTACTGATCTGTTGACAGACGTTTGAATCTCTATAACATTTGAACAAGGGTGCATCTCTACCTGATTCTTGTTTCCTTGAAGGTTATCTGTATTTTCATTTGGAATTACTGGAAATGATTTTGTTTTTTGGTGAATTGGTGAGTTGGCATTTATATCAATATTAGCTATGCATACTGTATTATCTGGACTTCTTGTAGAGGATTCACCACCTGGTCCACTTATGTTACAAGTAGGCCCTGATAACACATCTCCAGGTAGAGAGTGCTTTCCTCCTGTTTCAGAATTCTTCTTAAAGTTTTCAGTAAGAGAGCTCCAACGTTTGGCTAATCTGGCACGAAGTGAAGTGGATTTCTTTTTAGCATCTAAAAAATCTTGTTCATCTTTTATTGGAGTTTTATTATAGTTTTCACTTGTCTTGATATCAGATTCCTCCAAGTTATTTGATTTAGGTTTTGAATTAGTAAAATGATTCAACTGATGGATTTCTTGACTTGCCAAACTTATGCCTTTCAATTCTTTATTAATAAAGTCTTTCTCATTGCATTGAGATTTAACCAGTTTCAAACCTATTCCTGAATCACCGTGTCCATAACTGCTTTTAGATTGTTTGACATTTCCATTTCCATTGTTTTTCTGATTTGGGCGACTTCTTCTTGTGGTTTTTCGTATCAAAGAGAATCTATCAAAATTTCCTTCGCCTTTCAATCCATCAAATTCCTCTTCTCCTGCCAATGAGCCTTCATCTTCAACTATTTCTTTGTGCATTGATTCTAAAAGCTGTGATCTTTGGGCTGCTTTGGCTTGTTTATCTCGAGTTGACTTTACATCAGTGCTATCTAGTTTCTTAAATAGACTCGTATCTTCAACCGTACGATGATTTTTAGAATTATAAACTGTTGCGAAATCATCTTCTACAGATTTCACACCTTCAAATTGTGTGGATCTTGTGGAAGATTCCATCATGCTTTTATAAAGCCTGTTTTTTCGGGGAGGTACTGGAATTTTTGAGACAGGTGTAATTACATTAGGTGATGTAAGGCTTTTCTCATTACCAGACTCCAAATTTGTTGAGGATAGTGGCTTAACTTGTTGTAAAGGTTGGGCAAATTGTTTGCTTGAGGTAGTGTTATAAGATTTGGGTAAGTTTACTGCTTCTTTAATAGCAACTTTCTGTTGAGTTTGACTGTTTGCTGCAAGGTTTTGAATTTCACCGCTGGACTCTTTGAATCTCTGCCAAATCATATTTTTCTTATCCTCAGAATGTTTCTTAGTAATGTTAGATGAATTAATTTCATCGTTTCTGTTAACTACAGTTGAGGTTTTTGGTTGTGTTGAGATTTCTAATTTGGAATCCGTAGTGACATCTAAATTGGAATGAGTAGATGAGACAATGCCTTTAACTAATTCGGAATCAACTGATGATTTTCTGACATGTGGCTAATAGTTGTGAGTCAGTAGATGATGACCGTCAAAGATACCGCAGTCGAAAGTCTACGAACTCCTTGGATGGATCCAAGAGCAATTTAAGTAAAGACAACAGTTGTGACAACGATACCCTTACATTGTATGTGGCTAATAGTTGTGAGTCAGTAGATGATGACCGTCAAAGATACCGCAGTCGAAAGTCTACGAACTCCTTGGATGGATCCAAGAGCAATTTAAGTAAAGACAACAGTTGTGACAACGATACCCTTACATTGTATTCAAGGTACTTTTTCTCCATCTAGATTTATCTTTCACTTGAACACTTTCTACAGTTTCCATAACTTTTTCTATGTCTGTATTCTCCATTGCATTTTTAAGCTTTCTGGTGTATATTTCAGAATCAGTCTTAGCTTCATGAAGAGTTCCTAGGTTTGAAGATCTGCTACCTTCATCAGCCTTTCTTGGACCATAAAGCAAAGTGTCTGACTCCCTTTGTTCTTGCTCTTGGTGTTTTCTTCTTTCAAACAACATTACATCATGCAGCTTCTTCCCAATCTTCTCTTCTTTTTCATTTTCTTGTAACCATTCTTCAATTTTCCTTTTACACTGCTTTGCTTTCACTTCTGTATTGTTTTCTGATACAGCCATTGTTCTTTCCATAGTCTGAGAAATTGGTGATGCTGGACGTTCTCTTTCATTGAAATCAACAGCCAATAAATCGTGACGTCTCCTTCTTCCAGATCTCCGAAGTAAAGATCTATCTAAAGATCCACCATCTATACTTCCCAAAGATTTGCGGTCTTTGGCCTCTAGCTCAGATGTATGTTTTAAGTAGTCTATAAGTTCATCATCTTGATCTTCAGAGGAAAGGCGGCTTCTCCTCCTCCGAAGACTGCCAGTAGGAGTAACATCAGATAATTCTCCATTGTCTACATTATTCTGGCCATTGGTTATTGATGTAATAGAACCAATACGGCGCCTAATCACTCTCGGAGAACTCATGTATTCTTCTTCCGATGGTAAGCTACTGTTTTGACTTTTGAGTTGATTGAGGTCTGAGGAATGATCCAAGTTATTATTTTTTATCTTTTTTACTTTGAACTTCTCACCAACCTTGTTCTGTGAAAAGCCACTGTGGATATCCCAGAGCAGGGTATCCATCATAAGATTATCACTTTCACTTCCAGATATAGAACTAGGATGCAAATCAGTTGCTACAGAGCAAAAGAAAAATCCTAATGTTAATATTTGTTAAAATGATAAACAGTTTTGGAAGAATGCAGGTTCAATATCAAACTATAAAGGGCATGAACTTTAATATCCGATTTACCTACAATATTCATTAAACATGCTATCAATGTAAAATATCTTAAGAATCACAGGAAAGAATACTCACTTTACAGTATCATTAGAAACAATACTCACATTACTACACAGTACCATTAGAAACAATACTCACTTTACTACACAGTACCATTAGAAACAATACTCACTTTACTACACAGTAGCATTAGAAACAATACTCACTTTACTACACAGTAGCATTAGAAACAATACTCACTTTACTAC